GGACAAGGCGATGCAAGTTTTCCACCAACATTTTGCAGCCCCCTTGTAAGCGCTGCAACACAACTCCACCCTAAGAAAACCACTGGATGCTCCCCAGACTCCCCCAGCCCCTGTCCCGAACACTTTCTCCCCTTCTCAAGTTCATTCTCTAGCCTCCCACTGCCATAAACTGCAACCGTGAGGAGAAGGAACAACTGTGAAGAGTACTGGTCTATGTCTAAAGCAGAGGGTGGTCTTGGGGACCACCAAACAGCAGCTCCCACCATCAGAAGTCACTTGAGAGCCGGAAGGTTGGAGTACACACAGCTGCCTCAGTTTCCCTGAAGGTGCTACCTGGCCGGCCAAGCAAGGGGCTCAGTGGAAGCAGCAGGTCTGGCTGGATGTCCTTGCTCTGATGCAGCGTGTCCTGATCTACCCGAGGAGCTCGTTCTGCTAGTGTTAATGCATGCAATCTGTGACCAAGTCCATTCCGACTCAGCGTGACCAGGTAGGACAGAGAAGAACTGCCCCTTAGGGTATCCAAAGCTGTGAATCTTTACGGGAGCATACTGCTTCATCTTTCTACCCTGATAGTCTAGTGACTTTAAACCACAGACTGCGTGTCCTAGTGGTTACACAGTGGGCTGCTAACCTCTAGGCCAGCAGTTCAAAAACTACCAGCTGCTCCTTGGGAGAAAGATGAGGCTTCTCCTGTAAAGAATTAGTCTCAGAAATCAACAGGGGCAGTTCTACCCTGTCCTACAGGGTCACTATGAGTCAGCATCAACTCGATGGCAGTGAGTTTGGGTTCTTTATCTGGAGAGCAGCCAACACAGAGGGCGGGAGCCTGAAGAGGCTACCCTTCCTCTTCCTGAGCTAACTCGCACAAGCCATTGAGAAGTTTTTGAAGCAAGCAGCTGTGCTCTCCACTAGCTTTTGCTTGAGGGCAGCTCTGGGCTAAGAACTCTGGCCCATCAGGACCACCAGAGGCTACTTCAGAGGAATCATTCCATTGGTGTGACCCCTTAAGAGTGAACGATGGTTCTCTTCAAGGACCAGCTTCTTGGGGTAGGAGGGCACCACCCTAAGGGGCACCTTGAACATACTGCTTGCCAGAGCCTCTGAGGGGAATGAGTGAGTCAAAGACCAGTGTGGAGAGTGGTGGGTGAGGCGGAGTGAGGCTGCCTGGCGGTAGCAAAAGATTAAGCACTAGGCTATACACCGAAAGACTGTGCCTCTACAGGCCGGGCGATCTACTTGCCAAAAAGCAGTCACTGAATTTTGAAGCAAAGTCCAATGATTTCTACATTAGACTTAGGTTAAACATTCTTGCTCTGAATTGTTGTCACGGTTGTTTTCCAATCGATTCTGACTCAGCAACTCCGTGTACACCAGAGCGAAACACTGCCTGGTCCTACGCCATCCTCACAATTGTTCTCGTGTTGTTCTTGCTTTGAGGGGGCCCAATAAATGGAAACTCAAGACTACCATATATTTGCTCTTTTTAGACTCTGCATAGTTCTGCCTTTATGAATGAGGGTTATACAAAGTTTTGCCCGATTTCCTACCCTGGTTGTTTGTATAAGTAGTGTGCAGCCACTGAAGTTGATAAACTGTATAAATCATCAATCCATGTATTTCTGGTCTAAAAACCTGTCCTATACATGTACACTTTGCTTTTCTCAGCAGTGGTTTAAATTCTATACCATTGGTTAAATTAATGAGAACATCAATAGAACTACTATATTCCCCAATAGGGATGATTTACAATGTTCTCCAAAAAAATGATATTGATGTCTCTAAAGTGAACCAGGGATATATAAACTATAGCTATAGGAATGGATTTTTGAGCTTGCCCTTAATCATAGCCTTAATCTAAAACCAATTAGTTCTTATGACATGGGCCTGCTTAATACTTGCCCTCATGAAGAGATCGCTTGAAGAGATGGGTGCTGTAGCAAAGTGTGGTGAAGAAAGCAGATGGTTTCTTGCTATCAGAAAGAATAGTCCGGAGTCTCAAGGCTTGTCTTAAAATAAGCAGCCATCTAAATGAGGCACATGCTAAGCACACATGGAAGAAGCACAACCACCTGTGTGGTCTAAGGATTAGAAACAACAAAACCCAAATCCACAAGAGGCAATGGGATTAGAGCTTAAATCCTGAACACCTGGTTTTAGGAATGCTATGGATGTCAGTGAAAGCCCCAAACCCATTTGCAAGGTCCCCCATTCGGACGATGCCTCTGGTGAATCCCTTATGGCTATAGTTCAGGGACACGAATGGCCTCATTATCAGCGGGCACTAAGGGAAGATTGCTGTAGTTGTAGTTAGGTTACAAGGCGACACCTTAGGAAAAAAATGTGACACCTTGACATTTGATCTCTCTTTTGGTCCAATGTATATTTGGCCCAGTTTTTAATTTTTTTACTTTCTTTTCAAATGTTTTATGGCATTGGTGTTGAGTTTGTTTTTCTGTATGTAAAATTCAGGATAGGTAAATCTATAAAAACAGCAACTAGATTAATAGCTTCCTAGAGGCATGGCAGGGGAGGTTGGTAGATAATGGGGAGCTAACAACAATGAGTATAATCCCAAAATGAATGGAGTGATGGTCACACAACACTTATGAATATGATTAAACTACTGAAATATATGATGTATAAATTATATGTTGATAAAACTATTTTTTTTTAAAAGCACCTACTGAAAAGCCAATGATACTCTGACAGACAGGGGTCACCCTGCTGCATATCTGAGTTGATAGCAACTAGTTTGTTTTTTTCCTCTGGGGGATGGGGTGTGACATGGCAGAGACAGATCATTCCTTCTGCCAGGGCTTGTGAATGTGGGACTGCGTCAGTGGTATAAAATCTCGACTTTTAATCAATTGTTCTGATAGAGAGCCAGTCACCTGCCCAGAGCAGGCCTCTTGGAGCATGCTGGGGCTTGTCACTACAATGTCCAGTTCTCCTGGGTCATGGAACTACATCCTCCATTCTGGTCACAAAAGGCTCTTACTGTGTTTCTTTCAGGCTTTCCCTCCTACACTCTGCCCAGCACATCTCTCCTCCGATTTAGGGTTAGAACGATGCTTGTAACCACTCTTGTGTTCCCTGGGAGCTGCCCTCCCCTCCCTCCTCTTGTCTAAACGACATCTTGAAAGGCAGCTTAATCTCATATCCTATTTGTTCTCTTTCCAAAGATTTTTCTTCAAGAAAATCTTCAAGTATGTGATCATTCACCTAAGATCTCAAAGAGCCCTGGTGGTACAAGGGTTAAGTACGGGGCGGGTAAACCAGAGGTTCAAACCCACCAGCTGCTCCTTGAGAAAAAGATGAATCTTTTAGTCTGCGTAAATATATACAGTCTCAGAACCCCCCAGGAGTAGTGCAACTGTCCTATAGGGTCACTATGGGTCAGAATCAACTTGATGACAGTGCATGGGTGGGTTCCCTCAGGCCAAGGCTTTTCATGGAGACAGAAGAAAACTATAGGTCTGAGATAAGGGACTACAAGCTAGATGTCCTCAAATTAGGCTCAAGATAGGAAGGTGGGAAAATGACATTGTAAGGCCAGGTGGTGAAGAGAAAAAACTCAAGACAGGATCAATGGAGTAATGATAGGGATGATGACTATTTGCAAGGTTAATTGGTACGCCCCAACACAGTCAGAGACCCTAAGCAAAAAGTCAGAAGGAACCTTGCCAGGGAAAAGAGCTATGGCAGAGGCCAGGAAAGAAAATGCTTTTGTTTCAAGTGTTGCTTCTCAAATGTACAAATGCTTAAGGTGAATTAGTCTTAGTTGACCAGACCTGCTAACTCAGCAGTTCTCAACACCATTGGGGGGGTCGAATGACGCTTCCACAGGGATCGCCTAAGACTACCGAAAACACATAGTTCCGATGGTCTTAGGAACCGAGACACCACAACATGAGGAACCGTATTAAAGTGTATTAAAGTGTCACGGCATTAGGAAGGTTGAGAACCACTGTACTAACTCATTGTAAAGAGCTGCCCCCCTTCCCCTCACCCTAGGGCCCAAACGAAACTATACCATGAGTAGACTAAGAAGAGTGTGCATGTAAGAAAAAAAAGACCAGTCCCCAGTTAAGGTCCTACTATCTGGAATCTTCTATAAATAGGAAAGAAGAACTGGCAAGGGGGGATTGATACCACACAGTCTCTCTAGAACATCGGTTTGGGAAGTAGAAAACACTGCCCACAACCATGGAGCAACCCAATAGGGCAGAGGAGAACTTCTCAGGGTTTCAAACCTGTCAATCAGGGTACCTTGAGAAATCAAGGTAACCCTAACTCAGACTATGGCTTATCTGGCAGCCTCGTAGACAGGATCTCAACGCTTCGACGGTGATGTGGCTTATTTGGGAAGGATGAAGACGTCAAGGCCCACATACCTTAAAGCTTCTGTCATCTGACACCTGTTAGCCACATTCCTCCCTGATGCCAGAGCACTCCAGGTTCCCTGTGCCCACAGTTCTTCACAGGGAACTGTGGTTTATAAAACAAAAACAGTTCCTCCTTTTCCCTACGCCAGCCTCTGCTGTTCAGAATGTCCTCTTACTTTGAACTTGACATAGGCCAAAACCCCCCCCCAAAAAAACAGGAAGAAGAAAAGGAACAAGCAAACTAACTTTCAGGGACACTCTTGACATCTTCTAAAGTACCCTCAGTTGCACATCTACTTTACAGAGTTAAACAGATGATCCTACACCAGGAAGTCAATTTCGGCGATTGGAAGCCCTGGTGTCGTACTGATTACACTAACTGCCAGGTCAGCAGTTTGAAATCACCAGCTGCCCCAAGGGAGAAACACGAGGCTTTCTACTCCCATACAGCTCTACACCCCGGAAAACCCACAGGGGCAATTCAACACTATCCCAGTTCTACCCGACTCGTTTGGCGGCGAGTTTGGTTTGGTTGGAGAATGAGAGCTTTCCCAAAAGATGCTGAACATGTCTCGACGCCATGGGGCCGCCGGCCTTGGCCAGTCCGAAGCTCACCTCCGAAGTGGCCACCCCGATCTTCTCCGACTCGTACATGAGGGACAGCGACCGGTTGGTGCTGGTGGCCGCGGCCTCGGCTCTGCGCAGCACTTCTTGCCTCAGGCTAAGCTGCCGGTCAGCGGGCCCGTCCGGCTGGTCTCGGGCGTCCCGGCTGCCCTCGTCGTCCGCGTCGTCGTCGTCGTCGAACGGGTTGTAGCTCTTGGGGAACGCCGACATGGTGGCTGCGCTGGGCTCAGTCTGGGCAGAGGGAGGTACGCTACGGAGAAAGGGAATGGTCTTTGCCCGGTCCGTAAGGACCGCCAAAATCACCACCACCACTGCCGGCGGCCGAGTGCTAGTCAGCCGGGCCGCGCCAGGCGCCGCTCCTCCTTCCGCCCGCACCCCGCGGGCCCGCCTTCCTCCTTCCGCCCGCACCCCGCGGGCCCGCCTTCCTCCTTCCGCCCGCACCCCGCGGGCCCGCCTTCCTCCTTCCGACCGCACCCCACGGGCCCGCCTTCCTCCTTCCGCCCGCACCCCGCGGGCCCGCCTACCTTCTTCCGGCCAGCGCCCGCGGGAGGCCCCGCCCCCGGATCCAAGCTTTTCACTCGGCGTCAGAGAGGGGCGGTCCTTTTCCAGGCGGCGCCTCCCCTCGCGCTGCGGTGGAGCCGCGCGGAGGCCGCGCTCCGCCCAGCGTCGGCTTTAGCGAGGTCACGTGCCAGGGAAGCCGGATGCGGCCGCGCCTGCGCAGCGAAGTCGGTGCGCGCGGGCCGGGTGCTGAGGTAGGGCTAGTCGGCTCCCTCCGCCGCGGAGTGCGACGATGGCGGCGGCCACGGCCCGGGGTGGCAGCGGCGCCTTCGGCTGCTCTTCCGGCGCCGGAGGTTCGCGGGATTTCTACTTCAACACGGTCCTGTCGCTGGCCCGCTCCCTGGCAGTGCAGCGACCGGCATCCTTGGAGAAGGTAACCTGGCCGCTTGGCTGCCGGCTGACAGGAGGAGGGGCCTGGGTGGCCCGGAGGGAGGCCGGGCGTGGGTCGCGAGCCGCCTCTGACAGGAGGGTCGGATGGGAGGGCGTTCGGGGACTAGTCAGCAGATCGGGGGAGCAGGTCCGGGGGGAAAGGGAGGGGAGAGGATGGGCCGGCGGGGGTCCAGGGTTCCAGCCTGGGCACAGCCTCGGCAGTGAGCAGGGCTGCGAACCTGGGACTTGGTCACCGATTCCCCCTGCTCATTACACCTGTGACCTTGAAGGAGACGCCTGACCCCCCTCTAATGGGGGTGGGTGCTTTCACTTGGTGGCGCAGTTGGTTTAGCGGAGGATTAGGAACCGATAGGTTCTTCTCCAAAAAAGATTGACAGTCTCGGGAACACTGTGGGGCCGTTCTGTTCTGTCCAGTAGGGTCGCTGTGAGTCGCAGTCAATTCGCGTCTCCTGCGCTGCCCGCCCCCCGCCCCCCCCTAAGTGTCGGCAAGGAGCGGGTGACATCGTTTGTGCAAAGTGTTGCGTTGTCAACTGCAAGCCCAGAGGCAGGAGCGGACTGGAGGGGGCGGACTCTAAGACTGGTGAAGAGTAGGCGTTTGAAAGCCAAGGGACAGTCGTGGGGCAAGGGCGTGAACTATCAGTGGGCAGCGAAATTGAGCTTTGGGTGGCTTGGGAGCTGAAAGCCAAACTAGCCCCAGAGGAATCTTGTATTTTGAGAGGTGAAAGGCACGTGAAAGTAGAAGGAACCTGGGATTTTAGGGTCTAAGTGACTGTCTCTTACTGTGTCATCATGGGCAAGTAATGTCACCACCCTCAGCCCCTCTCTGTTTCTTGATCAGTAAGAGAGAGTTCTTGCGGAGTAAATGAGATGAAGGGTAAAGGTTACCTCAGGGTTAGGTCCACCTACTGCCATTGAACTGATTCCAACTCATAAGGAGTAGAATTGTCCCATAGGGTTTTCAAGGCCTCATCTGTCTGCCCGAGAGTGGCTGGTGGATTTGAATTCCTACCCTTGCAGTTAGCACCCCTGTGCTTCCAGGAGGGCGGCAAATGTAAGGGCCCCTCCGATGTGTAATAACACATAGCATTGTGTTAGCGCTGAAGGAAAGGGATTACTTTCCCACACTGCTTTCTGGAGATAGAAAAAGGACACACCCTGATAGGAAGAGAAGAGCCATGGTGACAGGAGACCTGCAGGTAGGAATGGTTTTCTAGCATCCTGGAGTGGGGGAGGGGCAGGGAAGGCTGTTTTTCGGCACTTTGGGAAAAGCAACTGCTCCTTGTCTTTGTGGTTCTAAAATATGATTTTGCCACTCACCTTCGGGGTGAGCCAGTTCTGGGAGACTGACACCAATCTGACTTCTAGTTTAAGAATGATTGAAAGAAAGTGGAAAGAGCTTGAGTTTGGGAGATACTGTTGGGTGCCCTTGAGTGGGCTATATATAGCGGCCCTGTATACAACAGAATGAAACACTGCCCGGGACTGCGCCATCCTCACAAGTGTTCTTATGTTTGAGCCCATTATTGCAACTGTTGTGTCAACTCGTCTCGTTAAGGCCCTTCCTCTTTTTTTGCTGCCCCTCTGCTTTACTAAGCATGATGTCCTTCTCCAAGGACTGGTCTCTCCTGACAATATGTCCAGAGTACATGAGATAAAGTCTGGCTGTCCTTGCCTGTAGGGAGCATTCTGGCTGCACTTCTTCCAAGACAGAGGGGTTTGTTTTAACAGAAAAGTGGGTGAAGGGTGACAGAGGACGATGTAAACTATGAAAATAATAATAATCTGTAACTTATCAAGAGTTCATGAGGGAGGGAGGGCGAGGGAGGGAGGGGGCGGAAATGAGGTAGCTGATATCAAAGGCTCAAGTAGAAAGAAGATGCTTTGAAAATGATGATGGCAACATATGTACAAAAGTCAAGTGTGCTTGACACAATAGATGAATGTACGGATTGTGATAAGAGATGTCAGAGCCCCCAACAAAAGTATTTAATGTAAATACTTCTGGCAGTCCATGGTACTTTTAGTATTTTTCACCAGTACTATAGTTCCAATGCATAAATTCTTCCGCCTGCTTTGTTCAATAGCCAGCTTTCACATGCATATGAAGCAATTGAAAATACCCTTCCCTTGGGTCAGGTGCACCTTAGATCTCACAGTAACATCCTTGCTTTTCAATTATCCAAAGAGATCTTGTGCAGCAAATTTACCCAACAGGATGCATCGTTTGATCTCTTGACTGCTGCTTCCACGAGGATCCAAGCAAGAGAAAATCCTTGAACTTCAGTTTTTTCTCTCTTTATCATGGTGCTACCTCCTGGTCCAGTTGTGAGGATTTTAGTTTTCTTTACATTGAGTTGTCATCCATACTGAAGGCTGCAATTCTTGACCTTCAGCCAATACTTCAGGTTCCTCACTTTCAGCAAGGTGGAGGTATCTGCATATCAAAGGTTATTGTAAGCTTCCCTCTAATCCTGATACCACATTCTTCATATAATCCAGCTACTCTGATTATTTGCTTGGCATAGAGATTGAATAAACATGCTGTGAGGAGACAATCCTGACACACATTTCCTGATTTTAAAGCATGTTTGCATAACTGCCTCTTGATCCATGTATAAGTTCCCCATGAGAATCTGGTATTACTTGCTTTTTAAGGAACCCTGAGGAGAAAGTACTTAGTGCTCAGCTGCTAGCTGAAAGGTCAGTGATTGGAACCCGCCAACGGCTCTGAAGAAGAGAAAGATGAGGCAGACTACTTTGGTAAAGATGACAGACAGCCTTAGAAACTAGGGCAGAGGGTGGGGGGTGGGAGGTCGGAGAGGCAATTCTACTCTGTCCTGTAGAGTTGCTATGAGCCAGAATTGATTCAGGCAAAATGAGTTTGGTTTATTACTTGGGTAAGGAGTCCAAGTGGTCCAGTGGGGTAAGTGTTGGGCTGCTCTTGTAACATCAGTTCAAACCCACCCGCTGCTTCATGGGAAAAAGAGGAAGTTGTCCGTTCTGTAAAGATTTATAGTCTCAGAAACCATATAAAAGGTTCCTCTGAGTTGGAATCAACTTCATGGTGGTGGTTGTTTTTAGTTTGGAGGGGCATAATGGTTGAATGCTTTGCTGCCCGTTGAAACTTCAGCAGTTTAAACCCACCAGACAATCGCCTCAGCTGGAGAAAAGACCTGATGATCTATTTCCTTAAAGATTTTGCCCTCAGAAACCCTCTGGGGCAGTTCTGCTCTGCCCTACACAAACCAAACCAAACTCACTGCCATCAAGTCAATGCGGACTCATAGCAAACTTTTCGGACAGGGTAGAACTGCCCCTGTGTGTTTCTGAAACTCTTAACTCTTTACAGGGGTAGAAAGCCTTGTATTTCTCCTGATGCGCAGCTGGTGGTTTTGAATTGCTAGCCTTGTGGTTAGAAGCCCAGTGCATAACAACTACACCACCAGAGCTCCTTCTGCTCTACACAAGGGTGCCTCAAAGAGTTTGTAGAAAAACTCCATTCTTTTTTAGTGCCATTTCTCCACGAACTTTTTGAAGCTCTGTTGTAGGGTCTTTCTGAGTTGGAATCAACTTGATGGTACAGGCAACAACAATGTCACCTGCAGATTGGTGTGACTTTAGGAAGGTCATCTGCCTGCTGTGAGCCTCTGCTGCCACCAGTGAACAGCAGGGATGGCACTTGACAGGTGTGTGGATCCATGACGTGACATGAATAAAACCAGGCACAGGGGGACACTCAAAAGCAATAGCTGGGGGGGGGGGTGTCCCTGGGTGGCACACATTTTTAAGGCTGGTAGCTTGGCTTGAAAGATAGTAGTAGCCATGAGACCCTGTGCAGCAGATCTC